AAGACACCCACCTGGGCCACCTTCACTAGACTTCCTCGTCAACCTACCTATATGGGATAAGGAGCCAAGCTTAGAAGTATTAATCAAGTCACCCTATGAGATGAACCAAGTTATAGATGATAGGGAAATAAAAAGCCCAGATTTGACACCTCCACTAGAGTCGAAAGAGCTCGAACCTTTAAAAATTATAAAGGGGTCACCCGGGCCACCTTCACAAGACTTTGTAGATGATTCACCTATATGGGACGAAAAACAAAATGTTGAAGACCGAATTGGGTTATCTCCTAAAGAGGAGGAATTTCTAGAGCTTAAATGGAGTAGGAGGTACCCCCACATCAAGAAAGTTCATCTCATGAAGAATAAGTTCCTAATAGAATAGAAATCCCTACAGGGGCAACCCCATTAAACTACTCAATAGGTACAGTCTCCCTTCATGAAGAAAGCACAACATGGGCAGTTCATGAGATTGAGCCCTTATTTGTTACCTCCCAACATGTCATAAGGCCACTCAGTCACTCTTCTCATGCGAGAGTCTCACCTAAACTCAAGTACTGAAAATAAGCCTACTACGGAGTTAACCTCCGAAGAGCAACACAAAATCTTCAATGAAAAAGATAATCGAAAAGGAGTTGGGTGACCACTCACCCCTTGCAAATAATCAAATAGGGCATTCACGCCTCAAACTTAAAAGGCATTAACGCCTAAAGGGTAATGTAAATTACCCCATTAATGGGGAAAACCTAATGAGCTTATCCATCCAAGAAAAAGATTGAGAGATTAGGAAAATGAAAGTTCTTCTTAGTCTTAAAATTAAAGTTCTAGTAGGAAAGTTCAAAGGACAGGTCTAAGGGGAATTCGACGACAATTGTGAAAGCGATATTGGATGCCAACCTAAGGCAAGGGAAATAAAAAAATAACTGATATTAGAACCTCCCTGCTACTTAGAGAAGGGAAACATGATCGAATTCCTACATGATCTTAAGGTAAATTGCCATAAAAAAAGAAAAAAGAAAAAAAAAGAAAGGCACCATTAACTCTTATTCTTCTTCCTCCTCCTCTTCCTTTGTCATTGTCTTCTTCTTCAAAAATAAATAAAAAAAAATCCACTGAGCTGAAAATCCGAAAGGAATCCCAAGCAACAGGGCTGAACACCCGAAAGGGACCCTGGGGTGATGAAAAATACATAAAAAAGAAATCCGTTGGGCTGAAAATCTGATTGGGCTGAAAATCTGAAATCAAACCTGAAGTGTTGGAAAAAAAGGCTCTCGACCTGAACACCAGAAAGGGACCTCGAGGCGACAAAAGAAAAGAAAAGAAAAAAAAGAAGAAAGTCTTGTCTTTTCGTCTCTTCTCTAAAGTCCTTTTCTTGAGTCAAAATGGTGTAAAAAAAGAAGTAACATTAAAAAAATCAATAAGCATTAGCTTGATAGAACATGATTAAGGACCTCGATCATTTAGACTTTGAAAGGTACGTGGTGGAGGAACAAAATTGGAAATTCTAAGATATTCCGAGCACTCAAGGGTAGTATCCTATGTTCTCCAAAACTCAATTTCGCTCAGAAACTCTAGAGAACTCTCTTTTGGATTGAAATACAAGAGCTATGGTTAGAAAATAAAGAAACACTCGATGATTTATCATCCTGAAGATCCCAGCAAAAACCAGACAAGCTCATATAAAGATCCACTACAGGGGTCACAAGTGGTTAAACTGTAAGACCAACATTAAAATAAAAAAAAAAAATTGAAAATTTCATTTCAAAAATTTCCTTTTTAAAAAAATGATATTTGGTGGGACGAGCCGAAACTGCCTTTCCATTCAAAAAAAAAAAAAGCTTAAAAAAATGCTCATTGGTGGAATGAGCCCTAAACTGTTGACCAAAATCAAGTTCAAAACGTCTAGCCCTGTGTAGAGTAAAAGACCAAGTGTATCCATTTCAAAATGCTCCTTAGTGGCACGAGTATAAACTTCCAACCACATTTTAGTTCAAAACGTCTAACCTCATATGATGTAAAAGGTCCGGTGTATTTGTCTAACCCTGTATGACGTTAAAGGTCGGGTGCATTTAGAAAATGTCTAACCCCGTCTGATATAAAAGGTCGGGTGTATTTGTCTAACCCTGTACGACGTAAAAAGTCGGGTGTATCTGTCTAACCTCGTATGACGAAAAAGGTCGGGTGTATCTGTCCATTGCTGCACGACGTTAAACTGCTTAAAGTGCTCTATGGTTGTAGGAGCTAAAACTGCTAACTAAATTTTTTTTTTTCAAAATATCTTTTCATTTCAAAATTTTCATTATATGTCTTATGTTTTTAAAAGGACTTTAATTTCTTTGTTAAAATCGTTACCTGTCCAAAGCTCTGAGTTCTATTTCAAAATTCCCCCCTTGTTTTCAAAATTTCTAAAACGACTTTTAAAAATGAAGGCGCTTAGACACTCGTATATGATGAGACCATGTTGCCTCTCTTTAGAATTGACCGGGTAAACCTTTTTCCTAATCAGGTAAAACCTTTAGAAGACCTTAAGAAAACCTAAAGAAAATAAAGGAAAATACCAGGTTTAAAGAATTTGAATTGTGAAAACCCCTAAAGTCAAGTAGCATGGCTAGAAAATTCAACTCGAGTTCCAAGCTTACGTAAATCACCGGAACATCTCACGCCAAAAACTCTAAGATGAAAATACTCTATGTGGGTGAGAGGGGAGAGCAATGTCTTGGAGGGAAAGTTGGCGTGCCCTCTGACCACGTGACATCAGATAATTTAAAATGTTTGTAGTATCTTCGCTCTCACCTGTCCCTCGAAGGACATGGAGCGCCGAAGAGTATTTGCTTCTTTGCCACTCAACGGTTCCTTGAAGGACAGCGAGTGCCAAAGAGGGGCAATTGTAGACACCCCATTTTGAAACTGGTAAATTTCATGGTTTTCCTGAACCCTTAGGACCACACTATTTCAGTCGACTCCTAAACCATAGACCACCATAGTCCATGGTCCCCATCTTATGATACAGTATCCAGACAAATCTTAGTTATCCATTCTACACTCCTTTTGAGTATGAAAAAGCATTAACGTGTCTTTTATAAGGAGAGAGGTGGTTAGCCAAAGAAAGCAGAGAGGGAGAAAAAGTTGGACAAATGAGAGACTCCAGAGACCAGAGAGAAAACTTGTGAAAAACCCTAGATCTAGGAAAAACCCTAGCCATTAAACCTACAATCTTAAGCTTAGACCAGATCCAAAAAAACCAAAACCATTCAACTAAGCCAAGGCTTGGTCAACATTGAAGAGAGACACGAGGGATTCAGGATGGAAATTATAGACGTGGTCTTGATACGGGCGAGGCCTCAAAGCCTCAGGTTGGTCGGGCCAGTTATTCTTCTTATCTTTATTTTCTTTATTTTTTCAATTATTTTTGTTAGATCTAAGATCTTATTTGCTTTTCATTCAATATTTCATGCTGGATCAATGCTGGCTCTGTCACTGATTTGAGAGCAGATCTACTCATTTCTGAGAGATCTGAAATCATATTAAAATTCAATTGACCCCCACTCTCTATCACTTTTAATAATTGAAATTGTCGTGTTAAGATCCGAGGGATCTTCCTCTAAAGATTTCTCCGATCTACATTGTAAACAAATATCTTTTCACAAGATTAACTCTTTATTGAATCACCAAATCTCTGTTTACAATGAGGTATTTTTTTCCTTTTAAATGCACTAAAAATAAGTAATAAAAATAAAAGGGTGCGGTTTGTATAGAGCCGAGGCTCTAAACAATCATAGTAAAGCGTGCATTCAAATAATGTCGAGAAATGTGGTTTCAATATTGAAAATCCTAGTGATAGCTTTAAAATATATTTTCATATTTAATTATAAAATTTAAAGCTTAAAAACTAGTGTAGATCGAGGAGTTCTATCAAAACTTGAAAACCTTGTAAATTGATGGTCCAAAAATGCGTTACAAGTTGCACTAGTTCCAAAGCTTGAAATCTTTTTTTTCTAATTTCCATGCATCTTGATGTCGAGATGATCAATTTGAGGATATTTGAGCTTCAAAACAACCTCTTCGAGGAAATTTTTTGAGGTGGGCTCTAATTTGATTGTTCAAAATAAAATAATAAAAAAGCTACAAAAAAAAACCTCCCTCTCACATTATTATCTCTCCCTTTATTATCTCACCTTTTATTATTATTTTTATTTTATTTATTTTTTCTCTCCATCCCCTTGCATCAATATCATAAAATTTAAAAAATAAATTTAATATTCGTTCCGATGTTTGAAACATTAGATCGCAGGCAAACTTGGAAAAACAATAAAAAAAATGGGGGGACAAAGACCTATGCATAAATATGACATATTTTTTTTACTATAATATAATAACGACCAAATAAAGGGAAATTTACATATAGACAGTTTATAATACCGTTATAACGAAATGACCCAAAAATAGGCTGTTATTACTTAAAAAGACGATATCATTTTGCTTCTTTTTTTTTTGTCAAAGTTACCCGGTCTGATTTCAAGAGTCACCGCTTGTTAACCCCCCACTGTGGGTCTGGCTCACACAAGCTGAATCCAAACCAGTGATGGTGGGTCACTTAATAAGAGTCATCGCTCACGCTCAAGCCCAAGCCAAGTCGGTCCATCAATGAAAGCCTCCAAAGCCCAGCTGAATCCAAACCAAGTCTAGGTCACTTAATAAGAGGCATGGCTCATCAAGCCCAAGCCCAAGCCCAAGCCAAAGCCAAGTTGGTCCATCATTAAAGCCCTCCAAAGCCTTGCTGACTCCAAACCAGTGCTATTGACAAACAAGATGATGTCGGCGAATTAAATGGAGCCTACTTAGGCCCCCTGAGCTCCAAGCCTCCTCATCTTGCATGCACCAATCTCTCTCTCACACGCACTCTCTCTCTCATACACACATTTTCTCTCTCTTTTGAACATTTTCTCTCTCTCGGTCTATATATATGTTTCCATCACGAGACTCACACACAAGCATCCGGTAGAAAAATGTGCAGGATTGTAGCTATTGCCTCCACCTTATCACCTCACCATTTTCTCACCCTCACTCTCACTCTCCTCCTCTGCACAGCAAATGACCCCCAAGTCCTCGCCAGGAACCCTCCAGAATCTGGCACACCCACCGAAAGCACGCTGGATACCGGTCCAAATTCCGGCAAAAAGCTCTTCTGCCACCCCATTTACAGCTTCCTCTTCAAAACCTGCGCTGTCACCGGAGTAAGCCGACCACCATTCCTCATCACACCGCCTACATACACTCTGCAAGCTCCCACCTTAAAACCAAGCTCTGTCTATTTTTATGTATTCCCATTCCCCCGCTCCCCGGTTCCTCTAACAACTCAGCTTCCACCACCTCCGGCGCTGCCCCTGCCTATCGGAACTCCGCCACCTCCTCCACTGCCTCTCGCTGTCGGAACACCACCTCCACTGCCTGTCACAAGTATCACGCCACCTGTTCTTGGGCCACCATTCATTTATAGCACACTACTTCCGCCTCCTGTGACTGTTTCTTCTGCTTATTCTCCACCACCTCCTCAGCTTCCTTTTCCACCTGCTTTGCCGGTGGTTTACCAAACGCCAGTTCAACTTCCGTCAGTAGCTCCCCCGTTACTATATATCCCAACTATTCTTCCTCCCCCACCTCCGTCTCTGTCGCCGCCTCTCTTGCCTCCACCTCCGCCACCGGTTCTTCCTGACGTTCTCCCACCTGCACCAGCAATATATCAAGCACCGCCTTTTACATCTGTTCCACCATCACCACCATCTACCACCTCACTTCCACCATCTCCACCAATTCCTTACACACTTCCTGCACCAGCAGTTGTGTCTTTCTCACCACCACCACCACTACTATATTCTCTGCCTCCCCCATCAGTCCTGCCGCCGCCACCACCATCGCTGCCTTACATATTGCCCCCACCGGCGGCTGCAGCAAGTCTTCCACCGCCCCTCCCTTATGTTCTGCCACCACCCACAGCAACAGAAGCTTCACTTTCACCACCATTACCTTATGTTCCGTCTCCACCTTTGCCTCCCTCTCTGCTGCCGCCGGTGCCATACTTGCCATACGTATTACCACCACCTCCACCGCCAGTGCCATCCTTGCCTTATGTATTACCACCACCTCCACCGCCCGTGCCATCCTTGCCATACGTATTACCACCACCTCCATCGCCCGTGCCATCCTTGCCATACGTATTACCACCACCTCCACCGCCAGTGTCGTCGCTGCCATATGTCTTGCCTCCACCGGTAACACCACTTCCATATGTGTTCCCACCGCCGGTGGCGCCGCTTCAATATTCTTTGCCGCCGCCGGCCGTAGGCTGAGAAGCCAGACCCTACAACTGCGACCATTAAGGGAGGAGTTAGTGCTGATACTGCCGGAAAGTGCCTGAAGTCCACTGGACCCATTTAAGTTCCTTGGGCCGTGCTGTCAGACGATTAGGGTGGAATTTATTGATATTATTATTATTTTATTAGGTTATGTTCTTGTATAGCGGCTTGTAAGAAGGATATTTTAATTGCTACTACATGGTAACAATGTAATATGTAACAAGTTGCCTTCGAGGTGCAATAATAGTAGCTGCTTGCGGGTTGCTTTTTATTTGGGAGTGATTTACATACGAATCTAAATTTTTTATTAAAATACGAAATGCTAGGAAAATAAAAAGAAAATCTGTCATTATTTTAGTTTTAATTTTAACTCGGATCGAATCCTCAGACCGAATGTTAATTTAACTTTTTTTAGCTTTTTTTTTGTTAGTTTTAATTTTAATTTTAGTTTTTCTACCAAAAAAAAACTTAAAAAAAAATTTAAAAATTAATCCAAGGATGGAATCCTCAAACTGAAGGACAATTATGAAAAAAAATAAAAGAGTTATTTACGTGCGGACCTTAAATAAGGTAGAAAAATACGAGTTACTCATTTTATATCTGAAAATTACAATCAAGGTCAGTCAGCGTGATTTTTTTTACAAAATTACCCTCGATCGGAGGATGCCATCCTCGGACTGCTTTTTTTTTATCAAAACTTAAGTTGCCGTCCGAGGATGGCATTCTCGAACCGCTATCTTTTTTTGTCAAAACTTAAGTTGTAGTTCGAGGATGAAATTCTCAGACTGCTTTTTTTTTTCTTTTTTCAAAACTTAAGTTGGGATCTGAGGTTGAAATCCTCAGATTGAAACTTAAGTTTTGAAAAAAAAAAAAAAAGCTGTCCTAGAATGCCATCCTCGGACTGCAACTTTAAGTTTCGAATCTGTGTTTTTTTAAAAAAACTAAAAGTTGATGTCCAAGGATGGCATTCTCGGACCGTTAATTTTTTTATTTTATTTTATTTTATTTTTATGTTTTTCAAAACTTAACTTGCGGTCTGAGGATTTCAACCTCGGATCGAAACTTAAGTTTTGAAAAAAAAAAAAAGCAGTTCAAGAATACCATCCTTGGACTGCAACTTTAAGTTTTGAAGAAAAATACGAAGTAGACCTTGGGGTAATTTTGTCAAAACAAAAGGTCGGGTTGACCGACCTTGAGTGTAATTTTTAAGTATAAAGGGAACAACTTGTATTTTTCCTAATTTATTTAAGGTCCGTACATAAATAATTCAAAATAAAAAAAAGATAGGTTGATCGACCTTCTCTGTAATTTCTACTTATAAACAAAGCATTTCATATTTTAGGAAAAATTTTCAGGTCTGTACATAAATCACTCTTTAATTGTCGATGATATGACATCACATGGGTGGATGGTTTACATTCATGGGAAGGACGAGAGTGAGAGCGTAGTGGCGCCTAGGCTAGTTTGGTCCAAGCTTAAAAGTTGGATGTGACTTGGAATCATTCAAAATTAATGTTTGGCCAATTTTAACATGTTGGATCAATTGGTTTTCATCAATTCGAGCAACTAAATGAAGTTGGGCAACTTGTTTTAATATATTTTATATTTCTATTAAATCAAATTTTCCTTTCTAAATTCTAGTGTAACCAATTCGACCAATAGTTGGACCAATTTTAACTCGACCATACGGACCTGATCTTGAGCCAAGGCCACAATAGGACTAGCTCAGTTTAGCCTATCCTGATTTTTTTTCTTTGTTTTGGGATGTTTTAGCCTTCCCTGGCCCAATCTAGCCAAATCTGATAAGGCAAGGCCGACACCCCGAGCATTCAAATTTCTTTCATTTGTACTGCGGTTTTTCTTAATGGGTTTAGATTTAGATTCATTCTCCATAGTATTTTATTCATTATTATTTCATATAATTTTACTGATTGTTATTTATTACTGTAGGTAAGGTTGCATATCGGTCAGAATGCACCCTAGTAAAAATAAGTAAAGGCAAAGGTGGTTCTTTGTGCAGACAGCTAGAAGTGCAAACTCTCCTCAATTCCCATGTTTTTCTAGGTTTTGGTAAGGACGCGGTTTTACGAAATTTGTTAGTATCCCTTCTAAAAACCAAGTGTAATTTTTGGGTTCTGTGAAAGTTTTTTCTTTGGTAATTAAGTGGGAAAGATAGGATTCTACCCGTTTTGTTTATATAGATTGGGGAGTTAGCATTTTTTTTATATCATTACTACTTTCAACCGTATCATTTTGGGTCTATCTTTTGGTCTTTTTTAGCCTTCTACATGAGCTAACTCGTACTTTTTGACCGGTGTTATACAGGTCTGCATCGCACATGGCCAACCGGCATCAATCCACTATATCTCATCTTATCGTCAATTGGTACCACATCTAAATTTTTCGAATGTATTCATTTCAAATTCTATCCCTTCTTTTTTGCCAAGTTTTAATGCTTGAGAACATAGTTCATTATTGTTTTTTTATCAATTATCATCAAGGTGGAGATGAACTATTTATAAGCTTTATTGATGTCTAATTAGATTTAATTTTGTTGAGAATTGGGCTTGGGTTTGAGTGGTTAGTAGCTTAAGTTTACTAGCACTGCATTTCTAGTTAAATTATTATTTGTGGACAATAATGTACGACTGATCATTAATTCATATGTAAAATGCAAGATGTTCAAGTAAAGATACAAGATAATAGAAATGAAGTAACCAACAGAATGGGAGTATGGACTCCTCCTTTGGCAAGAACATTCTCTATAACAATGTTGGACCGTTGCCATCGAGGTTGACAAAATATCCTAAATTTGATGAAAAATAGTTCTTAATCTTCAAGAAATATGGGCATTTCTCTTACTCCAAGCTGGCATTTGCCGAGACTCATTCGATAATCCTGCCCCCTTCCAAAATGCATAGTAATTTCAAACCTTCTAATAAACTTCGTGCTTCCGCCTCATTGCTATTGTGATACCACAAGGACTCGAGTAAGAAAATATAATGTAACCCAAATTATTTCTGATGAGTCCACCATATCCAGCTAGCCCTGGATTGCCAAGTGAACTTCCATCAAAATTAAGTTTGAAAGAATTCTTTGGTAGTGGTATCCAAACAATCTCACTGCGAGTATTGGCAGTAATATCCATAGGCGCCACTGCCAAGGGATTGCTAATGATAAGACTTTTAGGAATAAAGCCATTATCCTTATGTCCAAGGAACAAAAAAGCTGCCACTGTCAAAATATTCGATTTTAATGTAGACAGATCTATACTTATACTATCAAAGACTCTTCTATTTCTTTCCTTCCACACATTCCAAAGAAGGCTAACCCAAATAGATATCCAAAGAATAGTTTCTATATTTGAAATATCAGATGTGATCCATTGGTCAAGAAGAGCTTTGACATTTTGGGGCAAAGATAATGACAGATTGACGCACTGCTGAGCCCAATCCCAAAGTGGATTTAATCAACATATATCTTCTTCCCCATAAAAAGAGTTCTAGTTTTCCAAGTATCTAATTTCTTGTCAATTCTCTCTACCACTGGATCCCAAATTGATCATGAAAGCCTCAAATCCATTAAGGGAATTCCGAAATAAGTACAAGGTAAATACTCAATACTACAACCTAATAAATGATACTACCATTTGTGGACAGCTAATGCTAATGACCTTGATTTTACTCAAATTAAATTTAAGTTCAGATGATACTACCATTTGCATCTCCAGTTCAATTCCTATCGTTGAACTACCCTTGATGTCGAAACCCTGTTTTACGATGAGATTCAATGTGTGACATATTTAAAGCGGCTGCTTTTTGAAGTACTGTGCCTTTATGGCGAGCTCATCACAATTGGAGTCCTTTCTTTTCAGGTAATTTGAATTTTCCTACTCGCTTGAGTAAACATTTGTATCTTTTTCATGTTTCACGATTTTTTTATCAAAGCAAAAACATTTTATTTCATGTTTATTGTTTTCCATTATTTCAATATTATTACTATGGAGAAAGTACTTTACTTGTGAGTATTTCAGGACTAAATCCTTTTGTTTTGTTAAAAAAAGTTGCCTTCTTTTTATATTCTAATGAATTTTGACGTTTCGTCTATTTAATTAAAAGGAAAAAATGTATATAACGGTGTGGCCCTAAATAATCAAATTAAGGTGCGCCTAAAAAATTCACTAGAAGAAGTTGTTTCGAAGCCCAAAAATTCTAAAGTCGACAATCTCAACCTCAAGATGTATGAACAGAAAAAATGGATTTCAAGTATTAGAAATAGTTAGTCTTGTAATGCATTTTCTGAATGTCAATTTTCTAGATATCAAGTGTTCATAGATCTGCTCGATCTACACTATTTTTGAAGCTTTAAATTTTATAATTAGAGATGAAAATAAAATTTCAATTCATCACAAAGATTTCCAGTACTGAAATAACATCTTTTAACACTATTTCAAGGTGCATTATACTTGAATTGTTTAGTGCCTCAACCTTATACAAACCACACCCTAATTTAAAATAAGGATTTTTCCTCCATTTCACAATTTCACCATTTCAAAGTTTTATCCACAGTCGGAAATTTATTGTTTATTTTAACTACCTAAAAAATTGATAAAAATTATCTATTTATTTTTAAAATTTGTCTAACTAGAGAATTTTTTTTCTTTTTTCCTAGAATTATTTTTATATTTACTCTACTATTTTTTTCGCATTATATTTCAATTTTCTAAAATTAAAAGAATCAAATTATTAAGAAGACATAAAATCTAAAACTATTTATCCATAACAAAATTACTGAAAAATGGGCTCAAAGATATGTCATGGGGGGGGGGAGGGAGGGTAGGAATGGCCATTAGAATTGGGTGGTCGGGTGGTGGAGTGCCACATCGTAATGTCTATAACTTCGTTCCTATTAAGGCTGTAAGGTAGTTTTTGAGAAAAATCATCTAGTAATCTTTAGTGGTTCCCAAAGTTTCTTCAGTGCTTCCCAAAATTTTTGAAAAAAAGTCCTCCAGCCATATGAGCTAGGGAGAAATAAACTATGCTCTCAAAGTACTATATTAATACATCTTCATTGATAATTGCGACCATACAAAATGATCCATATGGTCACGAAAATGTCATAGTCATGAGTGTAAAGTTATCACCATCCCAACAATTGGCTAGAAAGGCATGGAGGGAATAGGCCCTGCCAAATATATTATTATTTGAGTTGTATGGCCCCCACCGCATGATCATTGATTGGATAGTGATAATCT